CAGCATCTCAGAGGCCACAAGCTGCTGAAGAACTAAACATAGGAGAGGAGAATTCCACTACCAGCAGATGAGAGCCTTAGTGACTGGACAGATGTGCAGGCTGGGGAGAAAGGCCATACCAGCTTTCACCAGTGATGGCAAGCCCCGTGGAACAGAGGGAGGAGGCAGCCATCACTGGTTTACCATGCAGGAAGAACATGGCACAGACAGAATTAGGCCATTGAGAGCCCTTGTGATTATATAAGTCTGGTTACTTCAGGCTGTCCCAGAGAGCCAGCCTGGGCCTTGTCAGAAAGCCAGGTAGATGGAAGACTGGCTTTTATTAGCTACTGGTCCTGTATATGCCGCTTGTTTTGTGCTTTGTTGGACATTCCCTGTGTGCAAGGATTCTCAAGCTATAGTGTGAACGAAGTAGATGAAGGCCTTGGTTCAGTGAAGCTGACGATTTGTTAGATCTGGGCAGGGCTGAGACTGCATTCTAGCAAGCTCTTGACAATGCTAACCTTTATTAAGAGTCCAGACACTTGGGGCTGGTGACCTCCTGCTACCAGTAGGGCCTCCTCCTGAAGGTTCTAAAGCCAAGGCAGCACGACCAGCTGGGGACAGGCTTCCACAGGGTCCACTTCAACCTGAAATATAAAGCTTTCTTCTATAAAACAGCTTTGGATGCCGTTCTGCATGTGCAGTTTTGCAGCTAAATGTGTGCTATTTGACTTAACGGGAGGGAGCACCCTTCCACATCTGCACCTCTGCCTTGGAGGCTATCAGTAACAAAACGGGCTCAACTACACTTCCAAGACTAAGTTCTCACCTCAGTGAAAAACAGAGGGGTATTCTGAACAACACACATCGCCAAGCGATTTTCTAATTCAACTATATATTTAAATGGGGTTCTCCTTTGCCGTGTGGGGCGCCTCCCAACCACTGCTGGGAATGTCGCAGCAAAGGAAGTGAGCCACACCACCGCCCACTGGTGCTTCCGTCCCGGGGCAGGGGCTGGGGGGTGTAATCAAAGCTAAACATTCAAAGACCAAGGTAATCTGCAAGGCTGGAGAGACAGCCCAGAGATGGAGAGCACCTGCTGCTCTCGCCGGGGGATCAGGGTCTGGTTCCCAGCACCCACACTGTGGCTCGAAACCATCTGCAACTCCATTCCAGGACATGCAACGCCCTCGCCTGACCTCTGTGGACACCGGGCATGCACATGGTGAACAGACATACGTGCAGGCAAAACACTCATGCACGTAAGATCTAACTTTTTAAAAGTCTGCAAGAGGAGCAAGTGCAATCATGAGGACACCGACGGGTGCTCTGAAAATGATCAGCTGGAGGCTGGCTTGTCGGTTTGATCATCCAGGAAGTCTCTCTTAGAATGGGCATTCTGGGTGAAATATCTGACTTTATTACCCCACCCCCCAACCCTCCTCTTCCCAGCATTACTCCTCCATCTGGCCCTCAAGCGCACACCTCGGGAGTGGAAGAACACAGCACGATCACCCGGTCACCTTATTTCTGAAGAAGCAGGACAGGGACCCGTGGCCTGGGAGATTCCGGGAGCTTGCCCCACTGCAGCCTCCCTGGTGTGCAGTCAGCATTTCCCCTCCTCGGCGGCGACAGAGCCCCTCGGAACATCCTAAACTAGCCCATGGGATTTTCATCTTGAGTGAAGACACTTTGCCCAGAATTAGAGCTGGGAAAGCGAGAGTAAAGCGTTTGAGAAAATTGCTCTGATTGCCCCGAAAGAGAGACGTCGCCAAGTGACCTCCAAGAACAAAATGTGCTGGGAGGATGCAGTTTGAAGAGATGAGCCTGGGCCCAAATGCTCTCTCCTCTTGATTTCTGGGAAACAGGCGCCCTCAGAAAGCACCAGCAGGGAGAAAATGATGGCCTGAAAATCATAGCTTTCTCCCCTTGAGAGCTGCCTGTCCCACCTCGCCTCCCACCGCTGTCAGCTCCTTCTCAGAGCCTTGCCAGGATCGTGTTATTCTTGTTAATAGCTGAGCCAGATTCACCCCGTTTGAGACTCATTTCTTTTCACAGCCTGCAGCAATCTCTCGGCCCAGCTGATAGCCCTGGCCCCATCTCACAGGTGGAGACCCTGAGTCCAGGAGAAGCCAAGCACAAAGTCACACCCGTGGAAGGTGGAGGGTCAGGCCGACTCCCGCCCAGCAACAGGTCCCAATATGCAAGAAAATCGCCTGAGATCACCAGACAGCAAACCAATCAGATGTGCTAACCAAACAACCATCACTTCCTCCTCCCCACCACTGAAGCTGGCTTTTGGCTCAGCCTCCATATCCAACCCCAGAGCTTTGCTCATTATAGCCACGCAGGGAGCCTTGCCGATGGAGGTCCAAGTTCCCAGCAGAACTTGGAATCTGGCTGGCAGAGCGTCCACCCAAGGAGCCACTGTCATTCCATCCTCTTTTTTTTTTTTTTTTTTAAGAAAGCAAGTCACAGAGAGACATCCAACTTCGGGTCAGGGAAGCAGGGCTCGGTTCGGTGAACAGCGCTAATGGGGAAGGTTCTCCAGCTGGCTTTTCACCTCCGCAGAAGGTGTGCAGCAGACTTCCTGCTCCGCTGTTTGATCTTTCCTCCCCGCCTACTGATCTTCCTTTTGGGTTTATTTGCTACTGAGAAGGAAACATCAGAGAGATCAATCCTGTCCAACCTGGTCTCTGTTTTATCAGTGGCTTTGCAGAGGCGGTGCTGGGGGCTCCCGAAGGTCTGCAGGGATCTGGCTGCATCTTTAGTTCATTTAGCCTGCCGCTTGAAGTTGCAGCAGACTTCAGGTCGCCTTGGAAGTCAGCATTAGCGGAAGGCTTCTGTCTTCCCGGTTGGACCTGAATTTTTAAGATTTCGAAAGCCTGACTGGGCCCAGATTTAATTTTGAAAGGGAAAGGGGTTGCTTTTGAACTTCAAGAAGGCGCTGGCAGCTCAGCGGGGGCTGCCTAAGCAAAGAAAAAAAGCCCAAAGCCCTGTGGTCATGAAAGACAACGCTGAGCAGGAGCATCAAGGCCGCCTGTTGGCTAGCCTGCGACCAGGCTTCAGAAGGGCCGCTGTTTAAATACCGCGTATAAAGCTGCTCCGTCCTCCAGCAGATTTTAAATATTCCTTAATTTGATTACTCAAGGGAAAAGCAAGCAGAACAGGCTCAAATGGGCTTCTCTGTTAATTACTCAGAACTTTTTATTGTGTAACCAAACATGAAGTCTCACAAAAGCTTGGAGGTACATCTCCCCAACACCTCAACCTGGCTCCCAGCCTGGAGTCTGTCCCTTTTGTTATGGTGTGGATTTCTAGACAGCCAAGGGGTCCTGTCTCCTTATTAGCAGCAGCCTGTAGATCTGCTGCTCAGAGCCCTGCATTTTGAGAAGCCAGCCTCAAGTTCAGTCCAACCTGACCATGTCTGTCCCCTGTGTCTAAATACTTTGATCCGCAGACATCATGCAGGGACAGACTCTGACAAGCCTAGACACTGGGAGTGTCACCCCCCCTTCCCGAAACTATCAGAGTTGCTCTTAGCGATTCGTCTCCTCAAATGTGCTCCATACAGGTTGAGAGCCAACAAAGTATGTCACAGGTCTCACACACCCCAAATCAGCCTGCAGAGAAAGGGAAGTTAAAAAAAAAAGGAGTGGATGCATAGATAATGAGATTTATAAATGAGTGGGAACATGGATGGATGGGTGTGTGAATGGATAAGTGTAGCAGAGTAGAAGGATGAATGGGTGTGTGGATGGATAGAGGTTGAGTGGATGGGTGCATGGGTGGGTGGATGGATGGATGGATGGGTAGATGGATGGATGGGTAGACTGACAGTAGATGGATAGATGGATAGATAATGAAAGAACAGATCGATAGAAAATTTGATAAGCAAATTGATTGATTTACAGGTAGTTAGATCACAGCAAGATTCCCCACTTGTATATCAAGTTCCATAACCATTAACTTCAAAATCTAAAGGCTCCAAAACCTCAGCTCTTTCATGACTCATTTGACCATAAAATCAGACCTGAACCAAAATGAATCAAACTGAAACTTAACATGGAATCCCAATTTTAGCGTCTTTATTTCTTTCTCTGAGTATAAGTATCCACGTACTTTGTCGCAGACATGTTACTGTGTTTCACTATGAGAGCCCGCTCCAGGCCCGCTGCAGGGGTATTAGCAATGCACGGCGTGTGCCACATAGCCCATTCAAAAAGGCCAGCATGGGGGAGGAAATCGCCCACAGCACCTGTTGGGGCTTTAGCCTCTTATCCGGAAAGTTCCCAGGCCCCCAGGGAAGGGCATGGAGCTTATTTACGTGGAGTAGGCACACACGTAATAAACATAATTCAAGATCACAGTACAAGAGAAATGGAGAGCCCTGGGGCTCTCCTTGAATCCAGTCCTGTCATTGGTTACAGAGGGGGCTGATAATGAATGTGGCTTAACCGGCTAGTGATGGGGAGATGATTCCGTGAGCACCCAGAAACCTCTGGCACAAAGCATCTCAGATAACTTCTGATCAAACCAGGGGTTTCATTTCACAACTCACCATGCCCACTCTCTCAGCTGCCCAGCTGCGCTGCTCTCTGTGGTACCCAGAGCAGTCCTGATGTTGGTGCCTGTGAACAGCAGGCAAGGCACAGATGCAGACACTTTCTGGTCCAACTGCAGCATAACCGCCACCTCACCCTGGACTCCGTAATGCCCAAGCCCAGAAGGCAAACATGCAGAATGTGTGCAAATATACTCCACCTGCCTCAGCCCTCGCCCAGGAAGCAGTGGTTTCTCTTAGCTCAGGTTTGTTTTTCCCTCCTAAAGACCCATCTTTAGAGGACTGTCCCCGCTTTAAAAATAGTAGCAGGAGAGAGTCATACTAGAGAGCAGCCACCAGCCAGCCTGAATGTGCTTTTCTTTAGGGAAAAGGTGAGCAGGTTGGGGCGGGGCCAGACCTTGTAACAAACCAGGAGTCTGCAAACTGAAAACTCATCAAGCTGTTTCTCACACAGGGACCCAGGCGGCAGCAAGAGCTCAATAAAGAAGATCAACAAGGACAAGTCCATGGGGCAGAGGTGGGATCACTTCGTCACGGCTCCTAAGGTAACCAGGGCTCCTCCCGGACCCCAGCCAGGAGAAGGAGTGTGCACCCCACATTCAGTCTCTGATGGGAGAGGTTGATTTATATATGTCTAGGTGGTTTTCCAAGCAAAGGAAGACCATGTTTGTTGTTTTTTTGTGTGTAGGGGGGGGTTGATACATTTTAATTAAAATGATTGTCTGGGGATTATAGGAAAAACGACATTTGGCCAGACATACCGGAAGGAGGCGAGACGGGGAGGTGGTGGTGATGGGCATCTGCTTAGTGAGATGTCAAGAAGGAAATGGACTCGCCTCGATCTGTCCTTTAATTGATAGTGCCCCTCTCTTCCTCTCCCTCCCCTCTCTTCCCCCTCCTTCCCTCGCCCTCTTTCTTCCTCCACCAGACATTCTTCCAAACCACAAGTGTATTCACTTGATTAAGAAGGTATTTTGAGGCCTGTTATCTTCCACCCAAAGCTGTGCCATCTCCAAAACTGGAGTCCACCTGCTCAACAAACACACACAAATAACAGCAGTAAACAGATAAAGCTGCCATTCTCGGGGCACGGCTGTGCAGCGGGTCTGTGCAGATCGCGCCCCTTGTCCACTGAACCCGTCCAGCGCCCACACCATCTGCCACAGGATTCTCAAGACGCTGAGGGAAAGGATGTGCAAACTCACTGAGAGTGTGAAAATGGGAACAGGAGAGATGGCTCAGGGGGAAGGGCACTTGCAGCCAAGGCTGATGTCCTGAGTTCCAGCTCCAGGACCCACACGCTGGAAGGAGAGAACCAACTTCCAAAAGTCACCTGCTGCCCTCCACATACACACACACACAATCGCACACACTCACACAGACACACAGAGTCAACATATCACACACATACACACTTACACATCACACACACACCATACACACTCACAGAGACATACATACATCACACACACACACACACACACACACACACACAGAGACACATTCGTACATACACATAGACATACACACACGCACACAAGCAATAAACCTATTATGTGCAGGTTTGAGAAGCACTCCTCAGCATGCTGACAGATGGGCCGTGACTTGTGTGGGGTCGTACAGCCAGGTCCAGGTTCACCTTGGGCCTGTGTGTCAAACATAAGGCTTTTTAGAGCCACACGCCCCATGACAGGACTGTTCCCCTGACCCTTGCTCTTACAGCGGCGTCCTTGAGCACCCACAAGCAAGAGCCTTTGTTTTCTCACATAAAGTCACTGTGGAGACACACAGAGCAGCAGGAGCCGTGATTCTCAGGGAAAAAGAAAGTGTTTTTCCAGAAGGTTCAGTACTGCTACCGTCGATTTCTCACAGTCCCGTCTCCCAGACCCTGTGGGTCACGCCCGGACAGTGGCGTGGTGCACTCTGGGGTTGGGGGGTGGAGTTGGCAGGATAGCTGGAGTGGCTGCTGTGGCTAACTCCACCTTGTGACCTTGGACAAGCCCTTTCTCCTCCCCGGACCTCAGTTTAGCCCTCTGTAAATGGGGATCTAGAAAGGAGACACTGGCCGAAGTCCCCGAGGGCCTTGTGGTACACACAGACCTAATCAGTAGCAGGCAGTGTTCCTGAAGATGGGGAAATCCTGCCAGTGGGGGGAAAGAATCAGGTTGAGTGGAGCACAGCAGGGAGTGGTGAGGTCTGTGGCAAAATGAAGCACAGCCAAAGGGAAGGCTGGGGGACCCATACTACCACATGCAAATGGGAGCCCAGGGTCCATTATTCTGAACAAAAGCCAAGCAGTTAGGTTTCTCTAAGTGTCAATTTTGTTTCTTAAAGTGGGTGGCTAAGTGTGTCTCCCTGTGAGCATCTAACCTCTGCTTCTCAGAAAGCATAAGAGTTCACTTAGGGGGAAAAAAAAAAAAGCCAGTCCCTCCCGAAGCTCTCAGTTACTCATAAGTCCCACCGGGCCCCAGCTCAGGGGAGGTTCAAGGAGGCCTGGGGATAGGAAGGTCTTTTTGTGGCCACCTCACCCCATCCCCGTTTTATTGTTGTTTTATTAATGAGGAAACCGAGGCAGCGTGCTCTAGTCCCCCAGCTCAGAGTCCAGGGCTCCCAGCCAGATCCCGGGTTGCCCCCCTGAGACACAGGTTGTTACACCTTCCACGGTGGTCTGGAGTTCCCCAGCACCAGGAAGGGGCGGCCTGGCGTACTGCCATCCCTGAGCTCTGACATCCTCTCTCATGGGGTGACAGGGAGTGTGGAGCGTCCTGTTGGGCAGGTGGACAAGCTCCTGGCTAAGCTGCAGAGTCAGGACAAAGGAAGGGAGGTAAAAGGGACGTAAGTGCTCTACTGATTTTTCCTCCCATCGCCGCCATCATCTTGTGTGATGCTCTGGAAAGCTGGATAACCACAGTCCAGACTCGAGTGCCCCCAGCCATCACGGGCTGGAGCCTTCTTCTGCTTGTGCAAAATCGTGTCAGAAAACTTGGGGAAAGGAGCAAAGCAAAGGAAGAAATGGAAGGCGAAGCCCTAGTCTTACCACTCCATCGTTCCCCTACCTTTTCCCTTCCTCTGTGCAGCCAAGAAATCCCTCCCTGCTTCTGGTGCAGAGAGTTCCGCCTACAGTCAAGTCCCTACAGCGTTCAAAACTGATCAAAACATTACTAACACCTCCTGCTTCAACACAGTTGATTCCCACAAGCAAACCAGCTGAGCGAAATTCTCCCCACCTAATATCATGGTGGGAAATCTTGGTGTGGCCTTCAGGACCCCCTCTGCTCTCTGTTGCCTTCTGCCCTAAGATGGTAAACATTATGAGTCTCATATAAATTTGACACCAACCTTAGTCCCTCAAGCATTTTCATTTTAAAAGCTCTCAAAGAAAATTATTTCTGGGGCTGAGAAGATGGCTTGGTGAGTTAGAAGGCTCGCTGTACACGCCTAGGGACCTGAGTTCAAATACCCACCACCTACGTTAAGACTCCTGTGCGTGTAACCTCAGCACTGCTGGGAGAGTGGTAGAGACAGGAGGGTCGCTGGGGCTTGCTGGATGCCAGCCTAGCTCCAGTTCCAGTGAGAGAATGCATTTTAGGTGGCACGAGGAATCATCAGTACAGGGACAAAGGTACTTCCAGAGACACACAGAATGTCCTTTAATGGCTGGTGACAAACGGTTGTTCCATATGTCCAGCATATGTCCATAGTGTTTAGGAGTGGAGGGGAATTCAGTGACCTTTGGCCCTTCACCTTGACCGCAGCAGGGATTAGAAATACCACTTCCCTTTTTCTTCCCTACTTCCTTCTTTACTTCCTTCCTCCCTCCCTTCTGCTCCTCTCCCAACTCTTCCCTCCCTCCCAGTCCCTCCCCATCCCTTCTTCCATCTCCCCCTCTTCTTTTCTCCAACCATCCTTTCTGACATCTGACATCCCTCTTTTTTCTCTCTTTCCTTCAGACCAAGAAATTTAAAGTCCCTGCCATTCGCACGGCCAGCCGGAAGCTCAGCAGGCGCGCCTCTACCCTCAGCCTGTCCCGGACCAGCGGGGGCTCTTCTCCCCAGAGCAGCATGTTGTCTGTGAACCCTGGCTCTGACGAGCTCCCCAGTGTGGTCACACAGGGCACTGGCACTGGCAGCAAAGACATTGAAGACAATGAGTCGTCTTCCACTAAGCCAGAGGAAGAACCTCTCCACCCCGGTAAGTTGCACCTCAGATACCACCACTGTCTGTCTTTACATTCCTAGGTCTTCAGCCCATCCTGCCCCACCTCCAGCCCTGCTCAGCAGAGACACAGAAGTCAAAGCTCTCTACCACTGGCCTTACTCAATGCCTTTGGGTCCCTTTCCTTGCCTCCCCCCCCCAGTCCCCACCCTTCATGAGGGCTGAAAATGTTCCCCGTAAGTTGTTTCGCTGAGCCCCTCCCCCACAGGGACACAGCCACAATCACCTTTTGCCTTCTTTACACCTTAAAAATACTTCATTTGCCTCCATTTCTATAGAATTTTATCCTTTCCACACTTCACACATACAAAAATTATGATCAAGATATTTCTACCTTATTTTTCCACATTATTCAAATTCAAATCTGTACCTGGTTGTCACAGATTTATCGATGTGTCGTCTTTGCTCGGTTTGGACTATTTTGTGTGTGAGAGAGCGAGACAGCACATGCTTAGATAGCCCAAGGTGTCCCGTGACTCACAGGCGTCCTGCCTCAGTCTAGTGAATGCTGGACTTAAAGGCATATGTACACCAGCACACCCAGCTCAAGGAACCACTCACCTCACCCATACGTTGTCGAATGTATGTGAGCCAGCACTTTTATGAAGCTGACAGAGGAAGCATCTGTAGGTCTGTTGCCACAATCTTACTTCAAAATGCTCCTGTCGGCCCACATGCATCCTTTGTCCCACCCCCCTCCCCAGTTTGAACCTGAAGGGCCACAAATCTACTTTTCTGCACAGAAGTGTACGTTTTCTCTTATCAGTCACTCTTATAGCAGTTCGAGAGCAAGCACAAGGACCTGTGTTCAAATCCCCAGAACCACAAAAAAACAAAAAAAAAAAAAAAAACAAAAAAAAAAAACAGTGCAATCCCAGCATTCCTGCAGAGAGATGGGAAGCCAAGGCAAGAATTCCCAGGAGCTCCTGGGCCACTGAGCCTCATATACACACTAGGAAAATGACACAGGATCCTGTCTCAGACAAGTGGAAGGTGAAGTCCGACAGCTGAGCCAGAGCTGGCCTGGGAAGCACTGGCAGGGACTGGGTGCTGTTTGGATTCAAGGAGGTCAGAGTGGGCCTAGGTTATCAGAACCCAAAGTGAGCAAACCTACAGACATGCAAGAAGTCAGGACACGTCAACAGGGGCCCAGGAGAGACGTGGAAAGCTGCTCTCTGGACAGAGGTGCCGTCTGAGACAGAGAGGGAGTGAAATTCTGCTGAGCTTCTGGAACCTTCCTCCCTCGGTACCTGAGGGTTGAGCAGCCACGATTTGGGAGGAACGAGGTGATAGCGCAGCTGAGAAGTCAGGTGGCCAACAGGAAGCTCCGATGACGAAGATCACTCATACTCAGAGTGCAATGACAGTGAGTGCTGAGCTGGAGACAGGGTTCAGCTTTTGTATCAGGTGAGAGCGCTGACAGCAATGGCTCACGCAGGGTGCTCCACAGAAGCCTCTCTCCCCTCCAGCCCCTGAGCCGAGGAGACCTGAGGAGATGAGCCTGGGGAAGGGGATCAAAGCTTGACAGCTTTCCAAAGACTGTCTACTCCTTGTCCTGCCTCCACTCGATGACTTTCCTCCACACTGGTTCAGAGAAAACTATTAAGTCAAATGCTGGCACAGTGACTTCTCCTCCATCCCCAGCACAGCATCTTTTAGTGATGACCGTGGCCTCAAGAACAGCTTATTCAGGACACTGATAACTGCCTCAGCATTTGAGCAGCTCAGCCTTACACAACGGATCTTCCTCTGTTCAAGAAAAGCACCATCCTACATCACTCCCTTTGTCCCCTGACACTTAGGGCTGGCAAATGCTTCCTTGATGTCTAAGCCCCATTCAAGTGCATCCTCCCCTGAGAAGCCTTACCTGACCCATCTGGATATTCTCTTTCTATGTCTCTTGGTACTCTGTATCAAGTCTTGTTGAGGACTTTCTTTTAGTTTACTGTTTTGTTGTTGTTGTTTTTTAATCTCATGGTATCAAAGAGACCTGGAAAAAAAAGTGACTTTAAAAAGATCAAAGTTTACATTTTTCCTACAGATTAAAGAAGCAAGGGTGGATAAAAATGACTATTAAAAGTGTCATCATGGATCTTCTTTATTCCGTCTTTTTAGTTGGCCAACCTCAGTGGATCCCTTCATGGTCCAGTATGGCCTCCAGAGCTCCGCCTATCACACCTGTGCCCTAGGTCCAAAGCAGAAGTAGACAAGGTATAACAGTGCCCACATCCAGGGGAGGTAAGCAACCTTCTCAGCAACTCCAGGCCACACTTCCAAAACCTCAAGGAGGCAAATGGATGAGCAGGCAAGGGTTATTTAATACCAAGCCTGATGACCTGAGTTGGGTTCCTGAGACCCACAGGCTGTAAGGAAAGAGCTGACTCCCCAAGATTTTCCTCTGACATCCACCCACATACACACAGGGAGGAGGAGGGAGGAAGGGATGGAGGTAAGGAGGGAAGAAGAGAAAGAGAGAATTAAATCCTCATGGTCTAGAACTCAGTCATAGTACTACACCTAACTGCAAACGATGCTGAGGAGAACGAACTAGGAAAGAATTCCCCTTCCAGACAGAAAAAGAATATAAGTTTTGTGTGTGGTGTTTCATGCCTCCAGCCTGGTGCACAGCAGCTGTGCAGCCGCTGCTGGGCAATGTTTCAGCAGGGATCTGTCTCTGGGGGAGAGCCCTTCTTCAGCTGCTCTGATCTTCCGCTTTCATTCACATCTTCACCTGCATCCTGTTTGTGGTGGACTTGACAAAGGCAGATTAGTTGCCCTGCCTCTCCTTGCCTTTGGAAACTTCCTCAAACGGATGCTGAATTCCTGATGCCATCCACAGCTGCTGGCCTTCTGAGGAGGTCTAATTCCAGGGCCAGCTGCATAAAGAGGCTGTGTTGCTGACCCCTGGGGGCAGTGGGTTGTGACCTCCCACCAACTCACCCCCTCCCTCAAACCAACGGCAGGGGAGTTCCCAAGAAACCAAGTCCTGCTGGGACTGGGACTGGGACTGGGACTGGGAGGACAGAGAGTCACTTGAATAGTAACTCAGATGTAAGTCTGAAACCGTCCATTGTGCTCCCTCCAAAGAGACCATAAACAGAAGACCAGGTCTGAAGACAAGGGGTTAAGAGAAATTCTGCTCTTGCAGAGGATCAGAGTTTGGACCCCAGCACCCAAGTCAGGAAGCTCACAGCTGCCTGAAACTCCAGCTCTGGGGGATGGAGCATCCTTTTCTGCCCTTGGAGACACACACAAAGACACCTTCCAAAAGAAGAAGTTGGCTTAGTCACCAAGGGTTCAGTTCTTAGACCTGCCGGGAGAGGGAGGTGGAAGGAGAGTGAAGATTTCTGTTCTCTGTGGCTATGACTTATCACTTGAGGACTTGGGGCAACACGGATCACACTACCCTGAAGCCTCGTAAACACCCAGTACAAGGCCATCTCTTCCTTGGGGGATTTCTATCCCATGGCCTTTCTGTACAAGCTTTTTCTCTGAGGTAAGAAGCCCCAAGACTCCACTTAGTGGGGAAAGGACACTTACAAGGCAAAAAGGAAGACTCCATTCAGGTGGACTCTGTTCACAGATTGGCAGTGGAGGCGATTGTGACTGAATTACATCACTGGGCACAGCCTGGGCAGCTCTGGGTTGCTAAGGAATGCCAGTCTTTCTCCCTGGTGCCTAGCAATAGTGTTTGCAACAAGCTAAAGCCAGCAAGGGCCTGCACCACCATCACCTTCGGTCATCATTACCCAAATGCAGCTCAAGCTCCCAGATGGGCCCCTCCCTTGCCATCCTTGCTGCTCACTCACTCCTTTCAAAGCTGGTAACTGATATTCCCCACCCATGCACATGGACAGCTGCTGCCCACAGAAACCCAAGTGAGATCAGACTCCACCCCCAAGAAATTCACAGAGAAAAAGTCAGTCACAGCCCAAGGAGAATCAGTGCACAAGGCTGGAAAAGTGTGTGTGTGTGAGTCCACAAGTCAGCAGCCTGCCAGATGTAGGTGATGGAGCATAGAAGCTTCCAGAATCCCAGAGACATTAAGAGGCCTGAGAGGGTGACTCAGTAACAGAACACTCCCCCAGCATAAACAAGGTCCTGGGTTCAGTTCCCAGAAATACACACACAAATACATCACACAGTGTGATGTCTGCATGAAATGGACACCAGCCTCACTGCCTCTCCAGAGACAGCTCAGCATCACGAGACATCTTCCAACCATCAAGAAAAGAACTGACATCTCTTAACACAAGTGGTAGAGATGCAGGAGTTCAGTTGGTGGAGTGCTTGACAGGCTTGTATGGACAAGCCAGGGTTCAACTCTCCAGGACCTGATAAAGCAGGAGTGATTGCACACATCTGTAGCCATAGCACATGAGAGGGGGAGGTAGGAGAATCATCAGTTCATGGTCATCCTCAGCTACATGATGAGTTTAAGGCCATCCTGGGATGCATGAGATTCTGTCAAATCTATATACATAAATATAGATATAATATATAAACCTATATATTATATACACATATATATGTTTGTCTGAGGTAAACCTAAGAATACATTCTTATTAATCTCCCTTCAATTGCTCAGATTTCGTTAATTCCTTCTTGTCTCCATCTTGATTCCCAAAATTATCCGAAAACTACTCTAGAAGTCTCCCTTCTACCTGCTAGTGGCTCTGTCCATGTGTGCTTTCTCCTCTCCTCATGCCAAGGCCCTCCTTCCTTCTCTTTGTTCTGAAATATGGAGAGAAATTCTGGACAGTTGCTAAGTGACAACCTCGCCCGGTGATGGTTTGGCACCATGGGGCCAGCTGTTTCCCAGTGGTTCTGTTACCGAGCAGGCTCTCTCTAGGAATGGAAAAGAGTTGGGGGGGGGGGATCTACAGATGTGTCCTTGTAAAATACCGATGCTCACTCACACCCCTCGTCTTCTGTGAAGCACACAGCTCACCCTGTATTTTCATTTTCTAACATATTAGCTTCCTAGGAGCTCTGGGATGTGAGGCTTAACACAACAGTAACGTATTGTCTCAAAGCTGTGGGCGCCTGACTTCACCTTCCTTGTTCTAGCCTTCTCTAGCTGGTGGATTCTGGGAAGGCATGACATCCTGCCATAGGTACACCACTCTCCTCTGCCTCTGTTACCGCACAGCAAGCTCTTCTTGGCTGTGTCCCCTTTCCATTACAAGGGCACCAGCCATCCTAGAGTAAGAGACCACCACCCTGTCCTCCAGTGTGACCTCACCCTTACACATCATAACTACCATGACTACTTCCAATTGACATCACATTCTGGCATCCTGGAGATTAGGAATTCAGCCTATCTTTTGAGAGACAAGATTCAGCTCATGGGGCCAGGCCTCAAGAAATCCTTGCATAGTATATGGACCAGAACATATTGAGCAGGAAGGTAAAAGTTGCTTTCATCACTTCATACAACTAAGACACCTGAGGGAACTGCCTGGGGGTGGGGGAGGGTTTATTGTGCTGCAGGGGTTCCATTTCACAGCAGGAAGAGGGCTTTCTTGACTGTCCAGCCAGTCAGTGAAATCCTGCTTCAGTAACACAAAACTCTTGTCTCATCAGCATGAAGTAGAGCTCAAACACACCCATGTTTGACCTCTGGCCTCACACATACACACATATGAATATGTACACAAGCACACAGAAACAGGCAAAGAGATCTTTCAGGGTCTCTGCAGTCAAGTGGAGTCCTGTTGCCAAGAAAAGAATAGAGAATCATGGAATGGTTTTAAGTCAAGCAGTGATGTGGTCAGACAGGAAACCCCTCAGACCCTATGAGCTGACTCTTCTGGGGCCCAGTAGGATCCCTGTCTTGCCCCTGACCCCCAGAGGCAGAGGCATCCCCAGGCCAGGCTTGGGGTCCATGAACCATCCTGACTCCAGGTGAAGGGTGACCACTCCCATTCCCATCAGTCTTGCAGAAGCTCCTGGAAATGGTCCGGGAAGACGCCCGAAGAGCCATTGTGATGACGACTGAGATGCAGAAGAAACATCCCAGGTATGCTACCTTAACTCCAGGCAAATAGTGATGGCAAGAACAATGACCAACTAGTGAGCCAAACACTGAGCTGTGTGTACTTTGCACATGTGCAACCACCCTGGTTTCTTAGAGCAACCCCTCAAGGTGGGAGCCACAGTCTTTACTTTACAAACAAAAGAGCAATGGTCAGAGAGGCTCAATGACTTGCTAATGGACACACAGCTGGTGAATGATAAGGGGACTCAAACTGCTTACATCTAGGTCTTTCTAACTTCAAAAGCACACCGATCACACAGCCTGTCGGGGGTCCTGTGGCTTGTTAGTCACCCTTGTAAGTATTCATGGATATGTATAAACTATGCACACAAGGAAAACTTGAAAACCTGAGACAAAAAGGGCGGGGCGGGGGAGTTACATAAAATATGGCTGCTTTTGATGTTGGCCAGAGAAGCTTCTTCTGCAGAGGGCAGTAATTAGTAGAGAGACTCAAAACCTGCCAAAGTGCTGAGGACAAGCTAAGACCTGGATTCCAACTGGGCTGTGTAGATCAACTCCCCCCACAACTTGTGGAACATTACATAAGAGGAGGTAGAAAGCGTGTAAGACCTGGGGTGGGGGGCGGGCAGGTGTGCCTTGGAATGTTGTCTTCTGGATATGGCATGGCTGTTGTGTTCATAGACGCACTGCAGCTATGGTGGCAGGCACCAGACCTGAACAAGATCAAGTCATCAAGATCAGACAACATCCCAGCAGGCAGCAGTAACTGGACTCAGTGGGTTATACAAAAGAGAGGACACAGAAGTCATAAGGGGACATGTTGAGGTGTGTTTAGTAGGGAGGCTGGGAGGAGGGAGTTGGGATGGATACGATCAAGATACAGTGTATACAGGATGGAGTTGTCAAAAACAAGTAAAAGATTAAAAAGAAAAGAGCTTTGGGTCACAGGTAGCTTGGTGGTAGAGAGCTTGGCTAGTGTGTGCGAAGCCTTGGCCTCCATCCCCAGCACTACAGAAAAGGGCAGAGAAATATAAAAACAAGATGGGCATGGCATCACATGCCTAAGATCTCATTGCGAGGGAGAGGGAGGCCAGAAGATTTTGAGTTTGAGGCTACCCTGGGCTACAGAGCAAGACCTTCTCTCAAAAGGGTCCTGGAGGGTACCGATCCACTCAGGGATAGTCATGACAATCAGTTGTTTTCTTTCTTTCTTTCTTTGGGATAAAGTGGGGGAGAAGGCCTGCCTGTCAAAGGTGACAAATACACAGAGTTGGGGTGGGGAGGAATATGGGGGGAGCCATTTGCAATCGTTCTTAGAAGGGACAGCAGCAACAACAGGGAATGGAAACACAGCCAAAATGGAACAGAGAAAAGCATATGCCAGTGAAGGACTTCATCTGGGAAGCCCTAACCTGGAGGATTTTCTTTTGTCTTACCCTTGGGCACTCTGAGCAGCAACCAGAATGACCGGCTCATAAGGAGGGTAGTGTTGACCTTGAACCTGAGGTGTCTGTCTTCTGGGGAAAATCCTCACTCGTGGACTTGTGGCCTCAAAAAAAAAAAAAAAACAAAACAAAACAAAAAACAAAAAAACAAAAAAAAAAAAAACCCAAATGCTCCAGAGGGAATGCAGGCTGGAGTCAGAGTTCCCTCAAGTCTGACTCCCTCTGAGCCAGCAAATTACTTACAGAAAATAAATGAAGCCAAGAAGAGCTTCATCACCAGCTTCAGCCTGCTGGGGAGCCAGCTATGACTTACTGGTTGTTGTTACTGCTGTAATTACACTTGGCCCAGTGTTTTCGAATGCATCACACCCCACCTCTGCCTGTTAACGATGAATCTGTCTGCTGCAGCCTCAACTCAAACCTGCCTCCTAACGTGGCTCTTGGAGACACTCTGAGACAGGGTGGGTCCATAAGACATTTGCCTGGTCGGGGGTGACAAACGTCGACTCAGAGAGATGCCTCCCTTTCTGTAAAGGCTTCCATGTCAAGTTGGTACCCATCCAAGGCCTGCTGCTGAAGGACAGGTGTCCTCGTCCTCCCTAGGCTTTTGTGTCCTCATCCGTAAAATGAGATTTTGGAGCACCAAGGCATGGCTCTGGAACCTAATAGACCAGGGAACATCTCCATCCCATCGTTCAACTTCTGTGTGATAGCGGGCACATTGTTCCACCTGAGTCTCGATGCACTTCTGCAAAATGAATCCCCTCAGCGCCCTGCCCAAAATGGCTGCAGTGAGATTAGTAAGCGGTTCTGTTCTTGAAGAGTGCTATGGCTGTTCCGGAAGTTATGTCTGTCTCACTGAGTCCTTAGAGCATTTAGGAAGATAATGCATTTGTTAGCAGTCCAGCTCCTTCCCGGCGTACAGTTGGCAATCAATTGATGCAGCGGGGGTGGGGAGGCAGAGGTTACTTTTATTCCTCGTATAGGAGCCACAAATCTTTAAAGCACTCTACTGAGACACGTGTGTCGGCTGTCACTGTCGCCACATGCTCCAGTCTGCATTATACTGCTGATGAAACACTGACCAAAACCAGCTTGGCGAGGAAAGGGGTTTATTTCGGCTTATGACTCCCATGTCACAGCCCAACACTGAAGGAAGTCAGGGCAGGAACCTGGAGGCAGCAACTGAAGCAGGGGCCATGAAAGAATGCTGCTTCCCGGCTTTCTCCTCATGGCTTGCTTGCTCCACTGTCTTATATTACCCAGGACCATCGGCCTAGGGGATGGCACGAGCCACAGAAGGCGTGGCCCTCCCACATCGGTCACTAATCAATCAAATTCCCTTCAGATATGCCTACAGGCCAATCTTATGGAGGCATTTTCTCAGCTGAGGCTCACTCTTCCCAAATGCTCTAAGCTCTGTCAAGTTGACAAAAAATTCCCCAGCACAGCCCACTTCACAGATGGGGAACATCCATGATGGCATCCATATGGTTTATAAAGCATCTGGCTCTGGAGAGATCTGTCATATGGACTCTGCATTCAATTCAGTGATAACCATCGTCACAGGAAAACTGTAGAAATTGCCCTTCCTCGTTAATTCCTTTCAGGAAAAATGAAATCTCTCCCCAGTTTAGTAAAGCATCGGATACTGAAACTTCCCCCGAGACTGACAGAGACAGGAAAGGCCTTGGCTTCCCTCACTTTGCACACCACATCAGCTCGCACTGGAGGCCAGTTGACAGGCTGAGAGGCTCCTGGAGACCTCTAAAACCCAGCCCCACACAGCCCTCAGCCCCAGGGCTGCAGGAAGATGGCTGCTTTTTAAATGCAGTGATATTCCTATGTGACGCCGGGGATCGGAACTGCTGTGTCCATGAAGATACAGGCATCTAGACCTCATCCCAGGCGCACCGAGGCCGAACCTCCAGAGCAGCCCTGGTTTCTAGCAATCCCTTCAGAGTGGGCACTGCCTCAGGGGTCTTGGAAATTCTACTGTGTGTACAGAATGCCATGGGGAATGTGGTTCCGGGCTCCTGTGTGGACGCTGGTGTGTGGTCCAGGGGCAGGTGTGATTCCACAGGTGTGAAGGTATGTATGAATGTGGAATTCTAGGGGCGGGTGGGATGCTGGATGGATGTGGAACATTAGGTAAGGGTAGAAGTCCAGATGAGTGTGTAACACCAGGTATGTAACACTAGGTGAGAGTGGGATGCTAGAGGTGGGTTAAACTCCTGGGGAGCGTGGAATTCCAGGTGAGGGTTAAACTCTAGAGGAGGGTGGAATTCCAGGTGAGGGTTAAACTCCTGGGGAGTGTGGAATTCCAGGTGAGGGTTAAACTCTAGAGGAGGGTGGAATTCCA